AGGCCGACGGTCCGCAGCCGGCCCGCCGCTTGGCGAGGCCGGCCTGGAGGGAAAAAAGGTATACCCCCCAAACGGGGTTCGATCGAAGACGAAGAGGGCTGGTATCGAGGGTTTGGGAAATACGCGTTATTGGACACTCGAGCATATAAGGGCGACCAGTCTTCAACTTATCGTTGTTGTTGTTGTTGTTGCTGTTGTTGTTTGTTGTCGTCGTCCCACCCGCGACCCACCCGCCACCCACCCCGCGACCCACCCCGCGACCCACCCCGCGACCCACCCCGCGACCCACCCCGCGACCCACCTGCGACCCAACCCGCGACCCACCCGCGACCCACCCCGCGACCCATTCGCGACCCACCCGCGACCCACCCACGACCCACCCCGCGACCGACCCCCGACTCGCTCGCGACCCATCCGTGACCCGCCCGCGACCCACCCGCGACCCACCCGCGACCCACTTGTGACCCACCCGCGACCACCCGCGACCCACCCGTGACTCAATAGCGACCCACCCGCGACCTACCCGCGACCCGTTTGCGACCCACCAGCGACCACCCGCGACCCACCCGTGACTCAATAGCGACCCACCCGCGACCTACCCGCGACCCGTTTGCGACCCACCAGCGACCCACCCGCGACCTACGCACATTGGTTTAACGAACAAATCGGCGCCCGCGGCGGGCTCGTTGTATAATCTGTGAAACTTAGGCGCCTGCGGCGGGCTTCTACAGAGACTCGCACATTGCCGACGTCCCCATCGCCCCCTCACTCTTATCCGCATCTGCGGGGTGCTGCATGTATATATATGTATATATATATATATGTAGATCTTGATTATCATTGTCATCGCGATGACGATGATGCTGATCGCGATGATTATGATGATGATCGTGATGCTGATGTTGCTGATGATGATGTTGACGATGAGGAGTAGAATGATGATTATGATTATGATGCTGCTGTTAATGATGATGATGATGTTTCTGATGGTGACGACGATGATGATGATGATGATGATGGTTATGATGATGATGATGGTGTTGCTGCTGATGATGATGCTGCTGATGACGATTACGATGACGATGGCGACGACGATGATGATGATGATTATTCTGATTACGATGATGCTGATGATGATGAGAAGGAGGAGGATGCCGATGATTATCACCATCATCACCACTATCATCACCACTATCATCACCACTATCATCATCAACATCATCATCATCACAACCATCATCATCACCACAATCATCATCACCATCATCATCATCACCATCATCATCATCGTCATTATCATCATCGTCATCAGCAGCATCGTCATCATCATCATCATCATCATCATCATCATCATCATCATCATCATCATCATCATCATCATCAGCATCATCATCATCATCATCATCATCATCATCATCATCATCATCATCATCATCATCATCATCATCATCATCATCATCATCATCTTTCTCTTCACTACCATCATCTTTGTGTTCGTTATCATCCTCTTTTTCCTCATTGCTGCTATCGTCTTAGACCTTTCTAACCATCACAGAGATCGAAGGCGGCAGTTTCTTTTCAAAATGTTGCGCTCGCCTTCCTCCACCTGCTCATATCCCTGCTCCTCCTTCCTACTCCTCCCAGACTTCTAGGGAGGCCCCGCCTGAGCGAGCACGGTATCAGTATACCATCGTAGTTGTCGCCTTATCTTACGCCTCCCACACCCCCGGGAAGGGCCCGCAGGAGTGAGCACTGCATCGTTCTACCATAGGAAAATCGTACATCCGTACTTTCCGAAGGACTCCGTTTTTTTTCTCCGCCTCCTCTTTCATGCTGCAACCTGCTGAACAACCTTTTTGAGCCCTCAGAGCTCCGAATTTTGTTATCCCCACCCTGTGATCATCGCTGGCACTCGGTTATCCATCACCATCGCCAGGGGGATCGATCTTCGAGGACCTCGGCAGGCGGAGGGTGTGGATATGGTTGCCCCCCCCCCAGGCCCGAATGTACGTATACCCGCCGCCTGCCTAGGTTCCCCAACGATCCACGAGGCGGTCGTGATGGATAAACCCTTGCCGCCGTGACTGTTTTCTCGCAGCGGGCATTTCCGGAGGTGCGACACCTTCGTCGTCGTTGTCGTTGCCTTCCTCCTCCGCGAGCTGAGCTGTCCCACTCCCGAATCACACACGGATCTAAAGTGTACCGGGGGCTCCAGCCACACCGCCGTGCTTTCGTAGGACCGTCCTTCTGGATGTATGTCGGCGCTTCACTTCGCTCGACTCCTCGTTCTCCCTCACCAGGTTCCTCTGTTCTCTGTCATTTGTTATGTTCTTTGTTCTTCCTCTTCTCACTCCATTTCCCCCCCCTCCTCCCGACCTCCTCTCCTCCCCCATCCTCTCCCACTGCAGTCCACCTCGCTCGCTCTCTCTCCTCCCCCCATCCGCCCATCCACTCCCGCGGTAGTCCTCTTCAGCGGCTCGGTGGTGTTTACGTGAGCCGCTTTGATGGCCTCTCGCCTCCACCCTCCTCCCCCGTCCTCCGCCCCTCTTTTCCAGACGGGCCGAGGCGCGAGCGTCACTTCCCTTTGGGGCTGTCCTCATGTGTTCCCCCACCCTTCGGATGCAAGTTCTTGGAGGGTAGATTGGGCTTCGTCGCTGTACCATCTGTGGTCGGTGTTCAGCCCACCCCGCCGGCCATGAGCCCAGCTCAATTCGGCTTAATCCCAGGTTCCAATCTGGCCCTAATTCGGACGGGGCTAGGACGAGGACAAGTCTGTTTCAGAGCGTTCTGGAACGCTCTCAGAGCGTCCCGGAACGCTCTGAGAAGGCCGCGGCGCTCGAGATATCTTCCAGAGCTGTCAGATCTCACAGATTCTCGATTCATCCTCGCACGATTTTATGGCCTCGTCCTGGCTTCGTCCTACTTTTCCGGAAGACGTTTCAGGAGATGCTTCATGACCACCTCTTTTGGCGGTCCGCGCGGACTTCTTGGATCCGCGCTGGGGCCTCCTCCTCCTCCTCCTCCTCCTCCTCCTCCTCCTCCTCCTCCTCCTCCCCCTCCTCACTCCCCCCCTCGCTCGCCGCCGAACCCGAGCCGGAAGGGCAGGCCTGCCGCGGGTCAGGCCCCTCCCTCCTCCCTCCTCCACCTCCTCTGCAGATATGCCCCGGACAGACTGTACTCTTCCACACGGCACGGGCCCCGGAGGGTCTCCCCCGGGACTGGCAGGGCGGGGCGCGTGCGCCGCTGCTGCTGCTGCTGCTGCTGCTGCTGCTGCTCCTCCTCCTCCTCCTCCTCCTCCTCTTCCCGCCTTCCTCTTTTCCTGCTCCTCCTCCCTCCTCCCCCTTCTTCTCCCCCTCCCCCTCCCTCCTCCTCCTCCTCCTCCTCCTCCTCCTCCTTCCTCCTCCTCCTCCTCCTCCTCCTCCTCCTCCTCCTCCTCCTCCTCCTCCTCCTCCTCCTCTTCTCCTCTCTAGACTCCCTTTTCCTCCTCCTCCTTCCTCACTTCCTCCTTCTTCTCCTCCTCCCTTCTTCCTCTCCTTTCCCTCCCTCCTCCTCCCTCCTCCTTTTTGCTCCTTTTCCTCCCTCCTCCCTCCTCCCTCCTTTGCCCTTTGCCCCCTTTTGAATGACGTCTTTCAGCTTTTGGAGTCCTCCTGGGGGGCCTTGTGGGAGGCCGTCTGGGGGGGAAAAGTGGCTGCATTCCACAAGAGTTCGCCCACTTCGGGACCCTGGACTGTGCTGAAGTCGAGGAGTGCCGTGCTCACCCTTTGCCAAGGCGTCGCCTTCACATGCGCATCAAGTGGCTCATGGTTTCATGCAGTCGAGGGTTTGCTTGCTCTTAGGCTCAGTTCTGTTGGCTTTCTCTCCCTCCTCCCTCCTCCTCCCTCCCTCCCTCCTCCCTCCCTCCTTCCTCCTCCCTACTTCATCCCTCCATCCTTCTCCTTCAACCCTCTTCCCTCCATTCACTCTCCTCGTTCTTCCTCCTCCTCCCTTCTCCCTCCTCCCTCATCCTCCGCCAGGGTGGCAAGGGTCCCTTCTGCCTGCTGGCCCCCCCCCCCATCTAGTGTGAGACTTGCGATCCGCTTCCTCTCGGGGATGTCCTGATGCTATTCGTCAACACTGTGCAAACATACTATGCCAACCCCCTCGGACTGAGCATGCCCACCTTGCGAAGGAACATGTTTCTGGGGACGCACGCCAGCAAGGCGCCCTGATGGCTCCTGCCACGTGCCATGCAATGACGGCACTTGGCCAACAGTGACAGCAACACCCCCTGCTTCCACAGGCGCGTTGCTCTGAAGGAAAGCCTTGCCACGCTGCAACCTGCACCGACCCGTTCCGTGGGCAGTGCGCAGTGGACGCGCGCACCGCGGAGCCTCCTACCCCTCGACCACAGTACCGAGTGGAGCGCAGAACGGCGGAGCCCACTTCTTCAGATGTGTTACGCCAGCGTGCTACCGTCAGTCACGACTCCGTCATGCTGCAGCTCCCTTCCACGCACGCGCGCCAAGAAGATCTTAACTTTCTGCGTGCAGCAGCTTGGCCAGAGCCGACCAGCAGCTGGGCTGAATACTTTTTGTTCGCCAGCAAACAGATTGTGCCAAACCCCTCGGCCTGAACATGGCCTCTCTGGTCAGGTTCCCTTTGTCTGGGGACGCACGTCAGCAAGGCGCCGTGATAGCTTCTGCAACATGCCACTCAGTGACGACATTTGGCTCAACTGTAACAAGCAACACCTAGCCTAACCGTCTCCTCCCCCTCCTTCTGACTGCAGTATTTGTAATGCTATGCCGCACTGGTCGCTTCCAAGTATCCTCGAACGTGTCCCGATTGGTCGACCGATCGATCGATCCTGCCCCTCCTCCTCCTCCTCCTCCGCCTCCGCCTCCTCCTCCGCCTCCTCCTCCTCCTCCTCCTCCTCCTCCTCCCCCCTTTTCCTCCTCCTCCTGCTCCTCCTCCTCCTCCTCCTTCTCCCCCTCCCCCTCCCCCTCCCCCTCCCCGCCCGTAGCCATTTTGGCTCAGGCGGTTCTGGAGGATCCCCCCCTCGCTCTGCACCCCTCGCTGTGGTGCCTCGGAGCGCCCCCACTGGGGCGGGCGTGGGGGGGGTGGCCCCAGAGATAAGGTGTTACTGCGGCCCGTTGGTTGTTACTGCGGCCCGGTGGGTGTTAGTATGGCCAGGGGTCCTCCGGAGTGTATTAATTATCGAGTACGGTGAAGGGGGGGGGGTCCAAAAAGGCTCCGCCCCCCCCCCTTCACCGAAGAGCCTCTCGGAAGAGCCTCTGGTGCTCTCCGAAGAGCCTCTTGGAGCCGCCGAAGACCTTCTTCCAGCCGCCTAAGAGCCGCTTGGGCTCTCCGAAGAGCCTCGTGGGGCCTCCGAAGAGCTTCTTGGGGCATCCGAAGCGCTTCTTGGGCTCTCCGAAGAGCCTCTTGGGCTCCCCGAAATACTACGACGACTACTACTACGACGACTACTACTACTACTACTACTACTACTACTACTACTACTACTACTACTACTACTACTACTACTACTACTACTACTACTAACTACTAACTACTACTAACTAACTACTACTACTTACTACTACTACTACTACTACTACTACTACTACTGCTACTACTACTACGACTACTACTACTACTACTACTACTACTACTACAACTACTACTACTACTACTACTACTACTACTACTACCTCTACTCTACGCACTACTAACCAACTACTACTAACCACTAACTACGACTACTCCTACTACTACTACTACTACTACTACTACACTACTACTACTCATAACTACGCTCACGACCCCACCACCACCACCACCACCACCCACCACCCCACCCCCACCACCACCACCACACCACCACTACTACTACTACTACTACACTAAACTACTACTCCTACTACTACTATTACTAGTAAAACTAGTACTAGTACTAGTAACTAGGTACTAGTACAAGTACTAGTACTATACTAGTACTAGTACTAAGTACTAGTAATAATATCTACTAGTAATATACTAGTAGTAGGAGCTATAGTAGTAGTAGTAACGAACTAACTTAACTACTACTACTACTACTATAACTAACTACTACTACTACTACTAATACTACTTACTACCTAACTACACCTACTAACTACTACTACTACTGACTACTACACTACTACTAGTACTAAGTACTACTACTAACTACTACTACTATAACTAACTACTCCTAATAACTACTCACTACTGACTACTACTACTACTACTCTACTACTACTACGACTACTAGTACCTAGTAACTAGAGGAACTAGTTACTAGGAAGGAAGTACTAGGAAAGAGAAAAATAGGTATAGTACTAGTGAAGATTAAGGTACTAGTCCTACTACTACTCCTACTACTACTACTACTACTACTACTACTACTACTACTACTACTACTACTATTACTACTACTACTACTACTACTACTACTACTTCTCGTCGTCCCTAGCACCCTAGGGCTAGCACTCCCTAGCGCCAGTACTTCCTAGGGCTAGTACTCCCTAGCGCCAGTACTTCCTGGCACTCCCTCGGACTAGCAATCCCTAGGACTAGTATTCCCTAGGGCTGGTACTCCGTAGTGCGAGTACTCCCTAGGACGAGTACTCCCTTGGACGAGTACGCCCTAGGGGTAGTAATTCCTAGGACTGGTACTCCCTGGGGCTAGCACTCCCTGCGGCTAGTACTCCGTAGGACTAGTACTCCTTATGAACGATATTATCTAACACCAACACTACAGCACCATAGTCACTACAACTACTACCACAATACCAGTACCACAACACCACAACACCGCTACCACAACACCACTACACCGCTACCACAATACCACAACCACAACACCACAACACCGCTACCACAACACCACTACCACAGCACCACTGCCACTACCACAACACTACTACCTACTAACAACTCAACAACACTACCAACACCACACCACTAACACAACACTACCAACACCACACCACTAACACAGCACACCACTACCAACACCACACCACTAACACAGCATACAGCACAACCAGCCACTACCAACACCACACCACTAACACAACATTACCAACACCACACGACTAACACAGCACAGTGACCACCACACCACTAACACAGCAGTACTACCACGTTGGTTCCAGGTGGGAGTTACTGTGGCCACTTTTGCCTGCGCGGGAGTGCATTCCCTTGAGGGTTGCGAATCTCTCCAGATCTAACATGAGATACCTTTACATATTACTTTTCATTGAGCGGCCTGCGCGGGCCACAGTAACTCCCATCCCGCCGCGCGACGGGCCACACTAACACCCAACGGGCCACACTAACACCCAACGGGCCACAGTAATAACCGGTCGCGGTGGCCCCGGGGGGCCGCCCGGCGCTGCCGCCATGGACGCCCTGGACATGCTGTCCGATGACGAAGACGACGAGGAGCGATCTTCCTCCTCCTCCTCCTCATCTTCCTCCTCCTTCTTCCTTTCCTCCTCCTCATTCTCTTCCACCTCCTCCTCCTCCTCCTCCTCCTCCTCCTCCATCATTCTTTTTCTTAACTTCTCCCTGTCGAACCCCGAGCCCAGACCTCCAGCTCAGACGAGGAACAGACACCCGTCTCGGAAATCCGGGCGTCGCAACTTTTGCACACGCTGCGTTCTCGGCCCCCTTCGGGCCTGGAGGGCCCTCACATCGCGATCCGGCCTGGGAGATTTCGCTGAAAGGTGGGGTCTGGGGTTTCGGTCGTTATTTCCCGCGACGTTGCAATTTTTGTCGCGAACTCGGATCTCAGGGATACCCACTGCTCGTCAAAGAGGGCCCACGCCGCAACGGCTGGATTGGCATCGGAATCCCAGCCAGAGCACACCGCTGGAAGAGATCCTGGGAGCAGCGATGTCGGTACCTGTTTGCTCCCCCACCACCGTTCTTGGAAACCTCTGGGCGTCCAGGTTTTTGCTGTCTTCGGCGTCCATAGAGGCCCTCTCTGGGCCCCAGAGCTGTTGCGAAGTTTGGTCCCCGGCGAAGTGGTCAAGAGCTCCAGATTCCGCGTGCAATCAAGCCTGGCCTGACGGATGCGCCTGTGGGGCCGTGCACCTCTCGGCTCCTGGGCCCCCGCTTCTGCTTGCTGTGCGTTCTGCTTCCTCGGTCCCCGGGTGCCCCTCAGGGGGGGTGTCGGGCTCACGGGGGGTTGCACGGACCAGCCGGCGCCCATTCACAGCTGATAGGGGCCCGATCGCCCACCCCGACCAGGAAAGTGCGGATTCGCCATCGAGGGCCTCTCGCTGATCTATCGGCGATGTATCGCCGATCCCAGGCCAGTGTCCCCCTGCCTGAGCCACATCGTTCCCCCCCAACCGTTCACTTTGCGAGTTCTAGTTGCCGTGTAAATACCCTTGCGCTCCACCCTGAGACCCGACGCCGTGGCACAAAGTATTTCAACATCGCGGAAAATCACGACCGGCCCAACTTTCACTGGCATCTCTCGAGCTCGATCGATCTGTGAGGACCCCGGGGCTAGAAGCCGGCCGAGAATGCCCAGTGTGCGAACGTTGCGACGTTGGGATCTCAAGAGCCCTTTCTCCCTCCTCCCTGGGCGTCACTGAAGGGGGGAGCGGCAAATTTGAACTTGAGCCTCCAAGACGCCCCAAGAGGGCTCCAAGATGCTCCCCAAGAAGGCCCTGGATGTCCACAGTTGCCCGTTTCCTTTCGGAACACGTATATTTTCAGCATGTTCGCTTTTTGGTCATCACATTGGTGGCCAGGAAGGCCCAAGACGGCCCAAAAGGCCCCCAAGAGAGCCCCAAGACGGCCCAAGAGAACCCCAAGACGGCTAAAGAGCACCCGAGACGGCCCAATATTGCCCCAAGAGGGGTCCAAGAGGGGGAATTCCAGCTCACATGTCGAGCCCTCCGCCCCAAGTGGACCTCTTATACCGCCAGCAGGCCCCCCAGAGGCCCGAAACAGGCCCCAGAGGCCCCAAGAGGCTTCAAAACTGGCACCACGGGGCGCCCGAGAATCATGCCAGGAGACCCCAACAGGTGTCCAAGAAGCCTCTGCAGGCACGGTGGCAGTACGAGCTGCGAGCGGACAGCACGCCACCCTGCAGTCCAGTCGGGTTTGCTTCGCTTTGGCGGGCGCTCAGCGTCGCGCTAGCTTGGGGGGACGAGGACCGAGGAACTTGGTTTTGGACGTTCCATTTTCATGCCTGGAGACTCTTGTCCCGAGGTCTTCCCCTCACCACTTTTATCATATCGTTTGCGTCCCTGAGTCACATGCATGGCCCGTTCATTCAGTCTACGCCTAGACTGTCCCAAGGGCACCCAAGACGCCCCAAGAGAGCTCCCAGAGAGCCCCAAGAGGGCCCCACGGGAGGCCCAAGAGGGACCCACGAGGGTGCCAAGAGGGGTCGTGGGGCAGTATCTTGGAGGGTGTGGCTCCTAACATGCCCCCGAGACCCCCTCGGGAGGCCCCCAAATATTTGAAGAAACCCCAGAAGCTCCCGAATGGCCCCGAAGAGACGCCGAAAGGCCCCCGAGAGGCTTTGCAGGGGCTTCAAGAGGCCCCTGAGAATCGCGCTGCGAGCCCACCTGAGGCGTCCAAGACGCCCATACTATGCCCCTAACTAATGATCCATATTATGGGGTGTGCCGACATGGGTGGGGCGGTGGGATGCGAACCCTGTCTCTGGGGCCGTCGGCTTTGGGGCACGAGGAGTAAGTCGAAACACGCGGGGGGACGCTATGCGAACTTTCCCACTAGGGCAGCACGTGGAACTACACCCCTCTGGGGCACGATCCGTGTGAAGGGTGTGCCGAGATGGGCGAAGGGACGCGTGCGAACTTTGTCCCTGGCACTGCAAGTGGAGCTCCCAGGGTGGGCGCGATCAGTGCGAGGTGCGTGCCGAAATTGGCGGGGCGATGCTATGTGATCCGCGTGATTGGTACTCGTTCACCTCAAGTTCAAACCATCTGTGGGTCATTGCTTCAGTTAAGGGCTGCGGCTTGCTGGAGCCTGGGGTGCGCTTCGTGACGCTGCAGCTGTCGCGGTGCCACCGCTGCCTCGTTTCGCCGCGGGCGTTTCGGTGCGAGCCTGATGCCGCGCGCGCCAGGTTCTACCCCTGCCAGGCCAACAACGGGCTTCTTGGAGCTCACTTCGGGATCCCCTCGCGGCACCATTGACGCCACTCTTGGGGCTGCTCGTAAAGCCTTCGCGGCTTGCTTTTAGGGCTGAGGGGGGCGCTCCCTTGGGCCCTCCTGCTTGGAGCGCCTTGGGCCACGCTTGGGCACACCTTGGAGCCTCTCTCGGGGAACTCATTGGCTGTTCTTGGGTGCCCTTTGGCCCTGTCTTGGGCTCCCCTTGGGGTGCTCCTGGGTTCTTTCTAGGGCGGCTCGTCCCTGGGATCTTTGAGTCCCCAGAATCATGTTCGGCATTTTTGCATTATTGTGCGTTGCGTTGCATTGTATTCCGCTGGGTTGCTTTCCGTTGCATATGCTATTGCATTGCTTTGTGATCCACGTTGCATTTGTGAGCATTGCTCTACGTTGCTTCGATTTGATTTGATTTGCATGGCATTGCACTGCAGTGCATTTGTTTTGCTAACTTGTGCCGCATTGGACCCGCATCTGGTTTGATTCCATGGCAATGCGTTGCACTGCGCTGCCATTACGATCACTCCATTGCCTTCACTTTTGTCCGTAGCCATTTTGGCTCAAGCATTTTTTGTTTCGGCTCCAGCAGTTCCGGCACGGTCACTCTGGCCCGGCAGCACACTCGCGAGAGCCACGCAGACATGTCGGAGCAGGAGTTCGCGGTGAGGGTGAACGACCAGTTGAAGTCCACGGAGCTGAGGCTGTGCGGCGCGCTCGGCAGGGACAAGAGGCATGGTGTTCACATGCGGGCTTTCTGGGCGTCGACAGTATCTTTCTTCGTGGCGTTCGTGGGTTGGTTCGCCCTGAGCCCGATCGCTATCGAGGTGGTCCACAGCATCGACGCTTGCGAAAACCAGCTCTTCCCACCGGTTGCGAACCCAGAGAGGAAAGCATTCTTGAAGTTCAAGGCGATCGCGTCGGGGAAGAAGTATTGCCAGTATGGGAAGATCGGAGAGGATAACAATCCGACTGGGTGCCAGGATGTGCCGCAGGACGTTTGGGACGAGAGTTGTGGCGGGGTGGCGGCCACCGCGTGCACGCAGAGCGAGACGCTCACGGACGACGTCGATCTGTGCCCCGAGGCATGCATGAAATATAATTTCGAAGTCCTCCCTAAGTGCGTTTGCAGCCCGGGCACGCACTGCGGTTCGACGATCCTGTATTCAAGCATCACGTCGGTCGGCATCACGATCTTTGTGCGCGTGGCGCTCGGCACCCTCCTCGAGAGGTTCGGCCCGGTCAATGTGCAGTCTGGCCTCCTGCTCTTCGGAGCCATCTGGGTCTTCGCCGCGACGGGCATCTCGGCAGAGTGGAACTTCATCTTCATCCGCATGATGATCGGTTGCGCGGGGGCCACGTTCGTCACAAATCAGTTCTGGTGCTCCCTCATGTTCGCCCCGAACGTGGTGGGCACCGCCAACGCGACCGCAGCGGGGTGGGGCAACCTCGGCGGCGGCGTCACACAGATTTTCATCGTGTGGTGCCTGTTCAAGCCCTTCCAGGCGATGGGCGCGAGCTCTGACACGGCTTGGCGCCTGTCCATGGCCGTCCCCGGTTGCATCTTCGTCGCGGTTGCCGTCAGCATGAAGCTGTTTTGCTGGGACATGCCAACGGGGCCCCGCTTCAAGACCAGCGACACGGGCAAGACATCAAACGCGTCGATGTGGGATTACGTGGAGTGCCTGAAGGACCCCAGGATCGTCATTATGATCTTCCAGTACGGCGCCTGCTTTGGCACGGAGCTGGTCATGAACGCGCAGCTGGCCACCCATTTCCGCGTCTACTTCCAGATGGAGGCTGGCGCTGCCTCTGCCCTGGCAGGCTCCTTCGGCCTGATGAACTTGTTCGCGCGCTCATTGGGCGGCATCTTCAGCGATTTTCTTTTCGCCAGGTTCGGTTTCCCTGGCCGTATTTGGGCTCAGTTCCTCTGCCTTTTCCTCGAGGGCATCTTCCTGCTCGGCTTCGGATCTGTGGAGAACTCGCAGCCGTGGTACGTCGCCCTGGCGGTCTTGCTGGGTTTCTCTCTCTTCGTGCAGATGACCGAGGGCACCAGTTACGGCATCGTGCCGTTCATGAACCCGAAGCAGCTCGCGTGCACATCCGCGCTGGTGGGGGCGGGCGGGAACTTGGGCGCCGTGATCGCCCTGTGGTGTTTCTACAATACCCTTGGGCCCATCGACACCCTGCTCCCGTTCAAGATCCACGGTGCCTACGTGATCTTTTGGGCGATGACCTCTCCGGCGTTCTACTGGACCGACAAGGGCGGCATGTTCTGCGGCGCCAGTGACCCCGCCTTCCAGAAACCCGCGCCCAAGGAACCAACAGTGGCTTAGATCCAACTCGAGGGCCAGCCAGAGCGGCGAGAGAGAATCACAGCGCAGCCGCTTCTGCTAGATTCTCCTTTGGGGGACAGTTGGGTGCCTGATGGAGTCTCGTAGTTTTGCTGTCTCCGGGCGGCCTCGGGGTCCAAGGAGGAGGCCATTCCGGTGGCCGAGGAGGAAATCAACATTTGAGCGTCTGGAGAGGGCGACCAGATGCCCCGAAGCGATGCTGGTCTGGAGCTCAGCACCGTGAATTTGTGGCGTTCCTACATCATGAGAGCACCGTGAATTTGTGGCGTTCCTACATCATGAGAGCCTCCGTAGAGGGCGGCCAGATGCCCCGAAGTGATGCTGGAGCGAAGCCCAGCACCGTGACTTTGTGACGTCCGACGTCTTCCTTCCCTCTTCCATGCCTCCCAAGAGTGCCCTACTCCCCCGTCTGGTTTCCGATAATTTTCCGGCGTGAAGTGCGTGTCTGAAGGCCGTCTCATGCAATGACAGAACAATTTGCGTGTACGTTTTGCGACCGCACTTGCGCGGCGGGAGGCAAGTTAAGCAAATATTGCTTGCTGTTTTGTTCAGAACGAGGGTGCGAGCCTGAAGGCCGTCTCTCAGCCCGCGTGCCATCCTGGCCCTCTAAGAGGAGAAGGAGGACCATCGGAGGGGAGAGAACAAAATATTCGCATTGAATGTTATGCAAATGCCCGTGTCGGCAATTCGTATCTGTTCTGCCCGCGTTATAGATGTATTACACCCCATGCTTAAACCATGTGTGGGTAGCTACTCCAGTGGCTATGAGAACTTGTCACGGGCTGAGGCCGACTAGAACCTATGCGCGTGGAAGCGCGGGCGTGGTTCTAGTTGCGGGAATGGCCCGGAGCATTTCCGAGTTTTATAGACACTTCCAGACCCCGCCAGCGCCGACGTTGCATCACCCGGGGTTGGGGGGCGGGCCTGGTGACGGCCGTGACGCCGAGTAAGTAAAAAGTCGGCTGTTCAAAGATGGGGCCCTGAGGTCATCGAAAATAAATTATCCCAGTGCGACCCTACCTAGGATTTGGAGCCCCTAGGAAAGCAGCCCAAGTGGACCTCTTATACCGCCAGCAGGCCCGAAACAGGCCCCAGAGGCCCCAAGAGGCTTCAAAACTGGCTCCACGGGGCGCCCGAGAATCATGCCAGGAGACCCCAACAGGTGTCCAAGAAGCCTCTGCAGGCACGGTGGCAGTACGAGCTGCGAGCGGACAGCACGCCACCCTGCAGTCCAGTCGGGTTTGCTTCGCTTTGGCGGGCGCTCAGCGTCGCGCTAGCTTGGGGGGACGAGGACCGAGGAACTTGGTTTTGGACGTTCCATTTTCATGCCTGGAGACTCTTGTCCCGAGGTCTTCCCCTCACCACTTTTATCATATCGTTTGCGTCCCTGAGTCACATGCATGGCCCGTTCAATCAGTCTACGCCTAGACTGTCCCAAGGGCACCCAAGACGCCCCAAGAGAGCTCCCAGAGAGCCCAAGAGGGCCCCACGGGAGGCCCAAGAGGGACCCACGAGGGTGCCAAGAGGGGTCGTGGGGCAGTATCTTGGAGGGTGTGGCTCCTAACATGCCCCCGAGACCCCCTCGGGAGGCCCCCAAATATTTGAAGAAACCCCAGAAGCTCCCGAGTGGCCCCGAAGAGACGCCGAAAGGCCCCCGAGAGGCTTTGCAGGGGCTTCAAGAGGCCCCTGAGAATCGCGCTGCGAGCCCACCTGAGGCGTCCAAGACGCCCATACTATGCCCCTAACTAATGATCCATATTATGGGGTGTGCCGACATGGGTGGGGCGGTGGGATGCGAACCCTGTCTCTGGGGCCGTCGGCTTTGGGGCACGAGGAGTAAGTCGAAACACGCGGGGGGACGCTATGCGAACTTTCCCACTAGGGCAGCACGTGGAACTACATCCCTCTGGGGCACGATCCGTGTGAAGGGTGTGCCGAGATGGGCGAAGGGACGCGTGCGAACTTTGTCCCTGGCACTGCAAGTGGAGCTCCCAGGGGGGGCGCGATCAGTGCGAGGTGCGTGCCGAAATTGGCGGGGCGATGCTATGTGATCCGCGTGATTGGTACTCGTTCACCTCAAGTTCAAACCATCTGTGGGTCATTGCTTCAGTTAAGGGCTGCGGCTTGCTGGAGCCTGGGGTGCGCTTCGTGACGCTGCAGCTGTCGCGGTGCCACCGCTGCCTCGTTTCGCCGCGGGCGTTTCGGTGCGAGCCTGATGCCGCGCGCGCCAGGTTCTACCCCTGCCAGGCCAACAAGGGGATTCTTGGAGCTCACTTCGGGATCCCCTCGCGGCACCATTGACGCCACTCTTGGGGCTGCTCGTAAAGCCTTCGCGGCTTGCTTTTAGGGCTGAGGGGGGCGCTCCCTTGGGCCCTCCTGCTTGGAGCGCCTTGGGCCACGCTTGGGCACACCTTGGAGCCTCTCTCGGGGAACTCATTGGCTGTTCTTGGGTGCCCTTTGGCCCTGTCTTGGGCTCCCCTTGGGGTGCTCCTGGGTTCTTTCTAGGGCGGCTCGTCCCTGGGATCTTTGAGTCCCCAGAATCATGTTCGGCATTTTTGCATTATTGTGCGTTGCGTTGCATTGTATTCCGCTGGGTTGCTTTCCGTTGCATATGCTATTGCATTGCTTTGTGATCCACGTTGCATTTGTGAGCATTGCTCTACGTTGCTTCGATTTGATTTGATTTGCATGGCATTGCACTGCAGTGCATTTGTTTTGCTAACTTGTGCCGCATTGGACCCGCATCTGGTTTGATTCCATGGCAATGCGTTGCACTGCGCTGCCATTACGATCACTCCATTGCCTTCACTTTTGTCCGTAGCCATTTTGGCTCAAGCATTTTTTGTTTCGGCTCCAGCAGTTCCGGCACGGTCACTCTGGCCCGGCAGCACACGCGCGAGAGCCACGCAGACATGTCGGAGCAGGAGTTCGCGGTGAGGGTGAACGACCAGTTGAAGTCCACGGAGCTGAGGCTGTGCGGCGCGCTCGGCAGGGACAAGAAGCATGGTGTTCACATGCGGGCTTTCTGGGCGTCGACAGTATCTTTCTTCGTGGCGTTCGTGGGTTGGTTCGCCCTGAGCCCGATCGCTATCGAGGTGGTCCACAGCATCGACGCTTGCGAAAACCAGCTCTTCCCACCGGTTGCGAACCCAGAGAGGAAAGCATTCTTGAAGTTCAAGGCGATCGCGTCGGGGAAGAAGTATTGCCAGTATGGGAAGATCGGAGAGGATAACAATCCGACTGGGTGCCAGGATGTGCCGCAGGACGTTTGGGACGAGAGTTGTGGCGGGGTGGCGGCCACCGCGTGCACGCAGAGCGCGACGCTCACGGACGACGTCGATCTGTGCCCCGAGGCATGCATGAAATATAATTTCGAAGTCCTCCCTAAGTGCGTTTGCAGCCCGGGCACGCACTGCGGTTCGACGATCCTGTATTCAAGCATCACGTCGGTCGGCATCACGATCTTTGTGCGCGTGGCGCTCGGCACCCTCCTCGAGAGGTTCGGCCCGGTCAATGTGCAGTCTGGCCTCCTGCTCTTCGGAGCCATCTGGGTCTTCGCCGCGACGGGCATCTCGGCAGAGTGGAACTTCATCTTCATCCGCATGATGATCGGTTGCGCGGGGGCCACGTTCGTCACAAATCAGTTCTGGTGCTCCCTCATGTTCGCCCCGAACGTGGTGGGCACCGCCAACGCGACCGCAGCGGGGTGGGGCAACCTCGGCGGCGGCGTCACACAGATTTTCATCGTGTGGTGCCTGTTCAAGCCCTTCCAGGCGATGGGCGCGAGCTCTGACACGGCTTGGCGCCTGTCCATGGCCGTCCCCGGTTGCATCTTCGTCGCGGTTGCCGTCAGCATGAAGCTGTTTTGCTGGGACATGCCAACGGGGCCCCGCTTCAAGACCAGCGACACGGGCAAGACATCAAACGCGTCGATGTGGGATTACGTGGAGTGCCTGAAGGACCCCAGGATCGTCATTATGATCTTCCAGTACGGCGCCTGCTTTGGCACGGAGCTGGTCATGAACGCGCAGCTGGCCACCCACTTCCGCGTCTACTTCCAGATGGAGGCTGGCGCTGCCTCTGCCCTGGCAGGCTCCTTCGGCCTGATGAACTTGTTCGCGCGCTCATTGGGCGGCATCTTCAGCGATTTTCTTTTCGCCAGGTTCGGTTTCCCTGGCCGTATTTGGGCTCAGTTCCTCTGCCTTTTCCTCGAGGGCATCTTCCTGCTCGGCTTCGGATCTGTGGAGAACTCGCAGCCGTGGTACGTCGCCCTGGCGGTCTTGCTGGGTTTCTCTCTCTTCGTGCAGATGACCGAGGGCACCAGTTACGGCATCGTGCCGTTCATGAACCCGAAGCAGCTCGCGTGCACATCCGCGCTGGTGGGGGCGGGCGGGAACTTGGGCGCCGTGATCGCCCTGTGGTGTTTCTACAATACCCTTGGGCCCATCGACACCCTGCTCCCGTTCAAGATCCACGGTGCCTACGTGATCTTTTGGGCGATGACCTCTCCAGCGTTCTACTGGACCGACAAGGGCGGCATGTTCTGCGGCGCCAGTGACCCCGCCTTCCAGAAACCCGCGCCCAAGGAACCAACAGTGGCTTAGATCCAACTCGAGGGCCAGCCAGAGCGGCGAGAGAGAATCACAGCGCAGCCGCTTCTGCTAGATTTCTCCGTTGGGGGACAGTTGGGTGCCTGATGGAGTCTCGTAGTTTTGCTGTCTCCGGGCGGCCTCGGGGGCCAAGGAGGAGGCCATTCCGGTGGCCGAGGAGGAAATCAACATTTGAGCGTCTGGAGAGGGCGACCAGATGCCCCGAAGCGATGCTGGTCTGGAGCTCAGCACCGTGAATTTGTGGCGTTCCTACATCATGAGAGCCTCCGTAGAGGGCGGCCAGATGCCCCGAAGTGATGCTGGAGCGAAGCCCAGCACCGTGACTTTGTGACGTCCGACGTCTTCCTTCCCTCTTCCATGCCTCCCAAGAGTGCCCTACCCTCCCTCCCCCGTCTGGTTTCCGATAATTTTCCGGCGTGAAGTGCGTGTCTGAAGGCCGTCTCATGCAATGACAGAACAATTTGCGTGTACGTTTTGCGACCGCACTTGCGCGGCGGGAGGCAAGTTAAGCAAATATTGCTTGCTGTTTTGTTCAGAACGAGGGTGCGAGCCTGAAGGCCGTCTCTCAGCCCGCGTGCCATCCTGGCCCTCTAAGAGGAGAAGGAGGACCATCGGAGGGGAGAGAACAAAATATTCGCATTGAATGTTATGCAAATGCCCGTGTCGGCAATTCGTATCTGTTCTGCCCGCGTTATAGATGTATTACACCCCATGCTTAAACCATGTGTGGGTAGCTACTCCAGTGGCTATGAGAACTTGTCACGGGCTGAGGCCGACTAGAACCTATGCGCGTGGAAGCGCGGGCGTGGTTCTAGTTGCGGGAATGGCCCGGAACATTTCCGAGTTTTATAGACACTTCCAGACCCCGCCAGCGCCGACGTTGCATCACCCGGGGTTGGGGGGCGGGCCTGGTGACGGCCGTGACGACGAGTAAGTAAAAAGTCGGCTGTTCAAAGATGGGGCCCTGAGGTCATCGAAAATAAATTATCCCAGTGCGACCCTACCTAGGATTTGGAGCCCCTAGGAAAGCAGCCCAAGTGGACCTCTTATACCGCCAGCAGGCCCGAAACAGGCCCCAGAGGCCCCAAGAGGCTTCAAAACTGGCTCCACGGGGCGCCCGAGAATCATGCCAGGAGACCCCAACAGGTGTCCAAGAAGCCTCTGCAGGCACGGTGGCAGTACGAGCTGCGAGCGGACAGCACGCCACCCTGCAGTCCAGTCGGGTTTGCTTCGCTTTGGCGGGCGCTCAGCGTCGCGCTAGCTTGGGGGGACGAGGACCGAGGAACTTGGTTTTGGACGTTCCATTTTCATGCCTGGAGACTCTTGTCCCGAGGTCTTCCCCTCACCACTTTTATCATATCGTTTGCGTCCCTGAGTCACATGCATGGCCCGTTCAATCAGTCTACGCCTAGACTGTCCCAAGGGCACCCAAGACGCCCCAAGAGAGCTCCCAGAGAGCCCCAAGAGGGCCCCACGGGAGGCCCAAGAGGGACCCACGAGGGTGCCAAGAGGGGTCGTGGGGCAGTATCTTGGAGGGTGTGGCTCCTAACATGCCCCCGAGACCCCCTCGGGAGGCCCCCAAATATTTGAAGAAACCCCAGAAGCTCCCGAGTGGCCCCGAAGAGACGCCGAAAGGCCCCCGAGAGGCTTTGCAGGGGCTTCAAGAGGCCCCTGAGAATCGCGCTGCGAGCCCACCTGAGGCGTCCAAGACGCCCATACTATGCCCCTAACTAATGATCCAGATTATGGGGTGTGCCGACATGGGTGGGGCGGTGGGATGCGAACCCTGTCTCTGGGGCCGTCGGCTTTGGGGCACGAGGAGTACGTCGAAACACGGCGGGGGGACGCAGGGACGCTATGCGAACTTACCACTAGGGCATCACGTGGTAACTACATCCCTCTGGGGCACGATCGTGTGAAGGGTGTCTGCGAGAGGGCGACGGGACGCGTGCGAACTTTGTCCTGCACTTGCTAAGTGGAGCTCCCAGGGGGGGGGGGGGGGGGGGGGGGGGGGGGGGGGGGGCGCCGATCAGTGCGAGGTGCGTGCGAAAATTGGCGGGGCGATGCTATGTGATCCGCGAGGTTGGTATTTTTCACCTCAAGTTCAACCATCTGTGGGTCATTGCTTCAGTTAAGGGCTGCGGCTTGCGGAGCCTGTGCCAACAGTTTTTTTTGTTTTTTTGTTTTTTTTTTTTTCTTTTTTCGTGGACGTGAGCGTCGCGGTGCCAACCCGCTTTGGCCTCGTTTCGCCGCGGGCGTTTCGGTGCGAGCCTGATGCCGCGCGCGCCAGGTTCTACCCCTGCCAGGCCAACAAGGGGATTCTTGGAGCTCACTTCGGGATCCCCTCGCGGCACCATTGACGCCACTCTTGGGGCTGCTCGTAAAGCCTTCGCGGCTTGCTTTTAGGGCTGAGGGGGGCGCTCCCTTGGGCCCTCCTGCTTGGAGCGCCTTGGGCCACGCTTGGGCACACCTTGGAGCCTCTCTCGGGGAACTCATTGGCTGTTCTTGGGTGCCCTTTGGCCCTGTCTTGGGCTCCCCTTGGGGTGCTCCTGGGTTCTTTCTAGGGCGGCTCGTCCCTGGGATCTTTGAGTCCCCAGAATCATGTTCGGCATTTTTGCATTATTGTGCGTTGCGTTGCATTGTATTCCGCTGGGTTGCTTTCCGTTGCATATGCTATTGCATTGCTTTGTGATCCACGTTGCATTTGTGAGCATTGCTCTACGTTGCTTCGATTTGATTTGATTTGCATGGCATTGCACTGCAGTGCATTTGTTTTGCTAACTTGTGCCGCATTGGACCCGCATCTGGTTTGATTCCATGGCAATGCGTTGCACTGCGCTGCCATTACGATCACTCCATTGCCTTCACTGTTGTCCGTAGCCATTTTGGCTCAAGCATTTTTTGTTTCGGCTCCAGCAGTTCTGGCACGGTCACTCTGGCCCGGCAGCACACTCGCGAGAGCCACGCAGACATGTCGGAGCAGGAGTTCGCGGTGAGGGTGAACGACCAGTTGAAGTCCACGGAGCTGAGGCTGTGCGGCGCGCTCGGCAGGGACAAGAGGCATGGTGTTCACATGCGGGCTTTCTGGGCGTCGACAGTATCTTTCTTCGTGGCGTTCGTGGGTTGGTTCGCCCTGAGCCCGATCGTAATCGAGGTGGTCCACAGCATCGACGCTTGCGAAAACCAGCTCTTCCCACCGGTTGCGAACCCAGAGAGGAAAGCATTCTTGAAGTTCAAGGCGATCGAGTCGGGGAAGAAGTATTGCCAGTATGGGAAGATCGGAGAGGATAACAATCCGACTGGGTGCCAGGATGTGCCGCAGGACGTTTGGGACGAGAGTTGTGGCGGGGTGGCGGCCACCGCGTGCACGCAGAGCGAGACGCTCACGGACGACGTCGATCTGTGCCCCGAGGCATGCATGAAATATAATTTCGAAGTCCTCCCTAAGTGCGTTTGCAGCCCGGGCACGCACTGCGGTTCGACGATCCTGTATTCAAGCATCACGTCGGTCGGCATCACGATCATTGTGCGCGTGGCGCTCGGCACCCTCCTCGAGAGGTTCGGCCCGTTCAATGTGCAGTCTGGCCTCATGCTCTTCGGAGCCATCTGGGTCTTCGCCGCGTCGGGCATCTCGGCAGAGTGGAACTTCATCTTCATCCGCATGATGTTGCGCGGGGGCCACGTTCGTCACAAATCAGTTCTGGTGCTCCCTCATGTTCGCCCCGAACGTGGTGGGCACCGCCAACGCGACTGCAGCGGGGTGGGGCAACCTCGGCGGCGGCGTCACACAGATTTTCATCGTGTGGTGCTTGTTCAAGCCCTTCCAGGCGATGGGCGCGAGCTCTGACACGGCTTGGCGCCTGTCCATGGCCGTCCCCGGTTGCATCTTCGTCGCGGTTGCCGTCAGCATGAAGCTGTTTTGCTGGGACATGCCAACGGGGCCCCGCTTCAAGACCAGCGACACGGGCAAGACATCAAACGCGTCGATGTGGGATTACGTGGAGTGCCTGAAGGACCCCAGGATCGTCATTATGATCTTCCAGTACGGCGCCTGCTTTGGCACGGAGCTGGTCATGAACGCGCAGCTGGCCACCCACTTCCGCGTCTACTTCCAGATGGAGGCTGGCGCTGCCTCTGCCCTGGCAGGCTCCTTCGGCCTGATGAACTTGTTCGCGCGCTCATTGGGCGGCATCTTCAGCGATTTTCTTTTCGCCAGGTTCGGTTTCCCTGGCCGTATTTGGGCTCAGTTCCTCTGCCTTTTCCTCGAGGGCATCTTCCTGCTCGGCTTCGGATCTGTGGAGAACTCGCAGCCGTGGTACGTCGCCCTGGCGGTCTTGCTGGGTTTCTCTCTCTTCGTGCAGATGACCGAGGGCACCAGTTACGGCATCGTGCCGTTCATGAACCCGAAGCAGCTCGCGTGCACATCCGCGCTGGTGGGGGCGGGCGGGAACTTGGGCGCCGTGATCGCCCTGTGGTGTTTCTACAATACCCTTGGGCCCATCGACACCCTGCTCCCGTTCAAGATCCACGGTGCCTACGTGATCTTTTGGGCGATGACCTCTCCGGCGTTCTACTGGACCGACAAGGGCGGCATGTTCTGCGGCGCCAGTGACCCCGCCTTCCAGAAACCCGCGCCCAAGGAACCAACAGTGGCTTAGATCCAACTCGAGGGCCAGCCAGAGCGGCGAGAGAGAATCACAGCGCAGCCGCTTCTGCTAGATTCTCCTTTGGGGGACAGTTGGGTGCCTGATGGAGTCTCGTAGTTTTGCTGTCTCCGGGCGGCCTCGGGGTCCAAGGAGGAGGCCATTCCGGTGGCCGAGGAGGAAATCAACATTTGAGCGTCTGGAGAGGGCGACCAGATGCCCCGAAGCGATGCTGGTCTGGAGCTCAGCACCGTGAATTTGTGGCGTTCCTACATCATGAGAGCACCGTGAATTTGTGGCGTTCCTACATCATGAGAGCCTCCGTAGAGGGCGGCCAGATGCCCCGAAGTGATGCTGGAGCGAAGCCCAGCACCGTGACTTTGTGACGTCCGACGTCTTCCTTCCCTCTTCCATGCCTCCCAAGAGTGCCCTACCCTCCCTCCCCCGTCTGGTTTCCGATAATTTTCCGGCGTGAAGTGCGTGTCTGAAGGCCGTCTCATGCAATGACAGAACAATTTGCGTGTACGTTTTGCGACCGCACTTGCGCGGCGGGAGGCAAGTTAAGCAAATATTGCTTGCTGTTTTGTTCAGAACGAGGGTGCGAGCCTGAAGGCCGTCTCTCAGCCCGCGTGCCATCCTGGCCCTCTAAGAGGAGAAGGAGGACCATCGGAGGGGAGAGAACAAAATATTCGCATTGAATGTTATGCAAATGCCCGTGTCGGCAATTCGTATCTGTTCTGCCCGCGTTATAGATGTATTACACCCCATGCTTAAACCATGTGTGGGTAGCTACTCCAGTGCGCTTATCAGGAACTTCACGGGCTGAGGGCCGGACTAGAACTATGCGCGGGAGCGCGGGGCCGTGGTTCTGGTGCGGGAATGGCCGCGAACATTTCCGAGTTTATCAGCCACTTCCAGACCCGACCAGCGCCGACGTTGCATCGCCCGGGGTTGGGGGGCGGGTCCTGGTGACGCGTGGACGTCGGAGTAAGTAAAAAGCCGGCTGTCAAAGATGGGCGCCCTGAGGTCATCGAAAATAAATTATCCAGTGCGACCCTACCTATGGATTTGGAGGCCCCTAGGAAAAGCAGGGCCCAATGTGGACCTTCTTTATACCGCCAGAAGGCCCGGAAACAGGCCCCAGAGGCCCCATAGGGTTCAAAACTGGCTCCACGGGGCGCCCGGAGAATTCATGCAAGGAGACCCCAACAGGTGTCCAAGAAGCCTCTGCAGGCACAGGTGGGCCAGTTAACGAGCCGCGAGCGGACAGCACGCCACCCTGCAGTCTGGTCGGGTTTGCTTCTCCTTCTCGGGCGCTCAGCGTCACGCTAGCTTGGGGGGACGAGGACCGAGGAACTTGGTTTTGGAACGTTTCCATTTTTTCATGCCGGAGGACTCTTGTCCCGAGGTCTTCCCTCACCATTTTTTTATCATATCGTTGCGTCCCTGGAGTAACATGCATGCCCGTTCAATCAGTCTTACGACTAAGACTTGTCCCAGGGCAACCCAAGGACGCCCCAAGATTAAGAGAGCTCCCAGAGAGAGCCCAAGAGGGCCCCACGCGGAGGCCAAGAGGACCCACGGGGTGCCAGAGGGGGTCGTGGGGCAGTATCTTCGGAGGGGTTGTTGTGGCTCCTAAACATGCCCCAGAGACCCCCTCGGAGGCCCCCAAATATTTTAAGAAACCCCAGAAGCGCCCGAGGTGGCCCAGAAGAGACGCCGAAAGGCCCCCGAGAGGCTTTGCAGGGGCTTCAAGAGGCCCCTGAGAATCGCGCTGCGAGCCCACCTGAGGCGTCCAAGACGCCCATACTCTGCCCCTAACTAATGATCCATATTATGGGGTGTGCCGACATGGGTGGGGCGGTGGGATGGAACCTGTCTCTGGGGCGTTCGGCTTTTGGGGCACGAGGATAAGTCGAAACACACCGGGGACGCTATTCGAACTTTCCCACTAGTGCAGCACGTGGAACTACATCCCCGCTGGGGCACGATCGTGTGAAGGGTGTATGTGCCGAGATGGGCGACGGGACCGGCGTGCGAACTTTGTCCTGCACTAAAGTGGGGATCCCAGGGGGGCCGAATCAGATGCGAGGTGCGTGCCGAAATTGGCGCGGGCGAGGCTATGTGATACGCGTGATTGGTACTCGTTTCACCTCAAGTTCAAACATCTGTGGTATTGCTTCAGTTAAGGGCTGTGCGGCTTGCTGGAGGCCTGGGGTGCGCTTCGTGACGCTTGCAAGCTTTGTCTTCCGGTGCCGCCGCTGCTCGTTTCGCAGCGCGGCTCCCGGTTTCGGTGCCGGAGCCTGATGCGCGCGCGCCAGGTTCTACCCCTGCCAGGCCAACAAGGGGATTCTTGGAGCTCACTTCGGGATCCCCTCGCGGCACCATTGACGCCACTCTTGGGGCTGCTCGTAAAGCCTTCGCGGCTTGCTTTTAGGGCTGAGGGGGGCGCTCCCTTGGGCCCTCCTGCTTGGAGCGCCTTGGGCCACGCTTGGGCACACCTTGGAGCCTCTCTCGGGGAACTCATTGGCTGTTCTTGGGTGCCCTTTGGCCCTGTCTTGGGCTCCCCTTGGGGTGCTCCTGGGTTCTTTCTAGGGCGGCTCGTCCCTGGGATCTTTGAGTCCCCAGAATCATGTTCGGCATTTTTGCATTATTGTGCGTTGCGTTGCATTGTATTCCGCTGGGTTGCTTTCCGTTGCATATGCTATTGCATTGCTTTGTGATCCACGTTGCATTTGTGAGCATTGCTCTACGTTGCTTCGATTTGATTTGATTTGCATGGCATTGCACTGCAGTGCATTTGTTTTGCTAACTTGTGCCGCATTGGACCCGCATCTGGTTTGATTCCATGGCAATGCGTTGCACTGCGCTGCCATTACGATCACTCCATTGCCTTCACTGTTGTCCGTAGCCATTTTGGCTCAAGCATTTTTTGTTTCGGCTCCAGCAGTTCTGGCACGGTCACTCTGGCCCGGCAGCACACTCGCGAGAGCCACGCAGACATGTCGGAGCAGGAGTTCGCGGTGAGGGTGAACGACCAGTTGAAGTCCACGGAGCTGAGGCTGTGCGGCGCGCTCGGCAGGGACAAGAGGCATGGTGTTCACATGCGGGCTTTCTGGGCGTCGACAGTATCTTTCTTCGTGGCGTTCGTGGGTTGGTTCGCCCTGAGCCCGATCGCTATCGAGGTGGTCCACAGCATCGACGCTTGCGAAAACCAGCTCTTCCCACCGGTTGCGAACCCAGAGAGGAAAGCATTCTTGAAGTTCAAGGCGATCGCGTCGGGGAAGAAGTATTGCCAGTATGGGAAGATCGGAGAGGATAACAATCCGACTGGGTGCCAGGATGTGCCGCAGGACGTTTGGGACGAGAGTTGTGGCGGGGTGGCGGCCACCGCGTGCACGCAGAGCGAGACGCTCACGGACGACGTCGATCTGTGCCCCGAGGCATGCATGAAATATAATTTCGAAGTCCTCCCTAAGTGCGTTTGCAGCCCGGGCACGCACTGCGGTTCGACGATCCTGTATTCAAGCATCACGTCGGTCGGCATCACGATGTTTGTGCGCGTGGCGCTCGGCACCCTCCTCGAGAGGTTCGGCCGGGTCAATGTGCAGTCTGGCCTCCTGCTCTTCGGAGCCATCTGGGTCTTCGCCGCGTCGGGCATCTCGGCAGAGTGGAACTTCATCTTCATCCGCATGATGATCGGTTGCGCGGGGGCCACGTTCGTCACAAATCAGTTCTGGTGCTCCCTCATGTTCGCCCCGAACGTGGTGGGCACCGCCAACGCGACCGCAGCGGGGTGGGGCAACCTCGGCGGCGGCGTCACACAGATTTTCATCGTGTGGTGCCTGTTCAAGCCCTTCCAGGCGATGGGCGCGAGCTCTGACACGGCTTGGCGCCTGTCCATGGCCGTCCCCGGTTGCATCTTCGTCGCGGTTGCCGTCAGCATGAAGCTGTTTTGCTGGGACATGCCAACGGGGCCCCGCTTCAAGACCAGCGACACGGGCAAGACATCAAACGCGTCGATGTGGGATTACGTGGAGTGCCTGAAGGACCCCAGGATCGTCATTATGATCTTCCAGTACGGCGCCTGCTTTGGCACGGAGCTGGTCATGAACGCGCAGCTGGCCTCCCACTTCCGCGTCTACTTCCAGATGGAGGCTGGCGCTGCCTCTGCCCTGGCAGGCTCCTTCGGCCTGATGAACTTGTTCGCGCGCTCATTTGGGCGGCATCTTCAGCGATTTTCTTTTCGCCAGGTTCGGTTTCCCTGGCCGTATTTGGGCTCAGTTCCTCTGCCTTTTCCTCGAGGGCATCTTCCTGCTCGGCTTCGGATCTGTGGAGAACTCGCAGCCGTGGTACGTCGCCCTGGCGGTCTTGCTGGGTTTCTCTCTCTTCGTGCAGATGACCGAGGGCACCAGTTACGGCATCGTGCCGTTCATGAACCCGAAGCAGCTCGCGTGCACATCCGCGCTGGTGGGGGCGGGCGGGAACTTGGGCGCCGTGATCGCCCTGTGGTGTTTCTACAATACCCTTGGGCCCATCGACACCCTGCTCCCGTTCAAGATCCACGGTGCCTACGTGATCTTTTGGGCGATGACCTCTCCAGCGTTTTACTGGACCGACAAGGGCGGCATGTTCTGCGGCCCAGTGACCCCGCCTTCCAGAAACCCGCGCCCAAGGAACCAACAGTGGCTTAGATCCAACTCGAGGGCCAGCCAGAGCGGCGAGAGAGAATCACAGCGCAGCCGCTTCTGCTAGATTTCTCCGTTGGGGGACAGTTGGGTGCCTGATGGAGTCTCGTAGTTTTGCTGTCTCCGGGCGGCCTCGGGGGCCAAGGAGGAGGCCATTCCGGTGGCCGAGGAGGAAATCAACATTTGAGCGTCTGGAGAGGGCGACCAGATGCCCCGAAGCGATGCTGGTCTGGAGCTCAGCACCGTGAATTTGTGGCGTTCCTACATCATGAGAGCCTCCGTAGAGGGCGGCCAGATGCCCCGAAGTGATGCTGGAGCGAAGCCCAGCACCGTGACTTTGTGACGTCCGACGTCTTCCTTCCCTCTTCCATGCCTCCCAAGAGTGCCCTACCCTCCCTCCCCCGTCTGGTTTCCGATAATTTTCCGGCGTGAAGTGCGTGTCTGAAGGCCGTCTCATGCAATGACAGAACAATTTGCGTGTACGTTTTGCGACCGCACTTGCGCGGCGGGAGGCAAGTTAAGCAAATATTGCTTGCTGTTTTGTTCAGAACGAGGGTGCGAGCCTGAAGGCCGTCTCTCAGCCCGCGTGCCATCCTGGCCCTCTAAGAGGAGAAGGAGGACCATCGGAGGGGAGAGAACAAAATATTCGCATTGAATGTTATGCAAATGCCCGTGTCGGCAATTCGTATCTGTTCTGCCCGCGTTATAGATGTATTACACCCCATGCTTAAACCATGTGTGGGTAGCTACTCCAGTGGCTATGAGAACTTGTCACGGGCTGAGGCCGACTAGAACCTATGCGCGTGGAAGCGCGGGCGTGGTTCTAGTTGCGGGAATGGCCCGGAACATTTCCGAGTTTTATAGACACTTCCAGACCCCGCCAGCGCCGACGTTGCATCGCCCGGGGTTGGGGGGCGGGCCTGGTGACGGCCGTGACGCCGAGTAAGTAAAAAGCCGGCTGTTCAAAGATGGGGCCCTGAGGTCATCGAAAATAAATTATCCCAGTGCGACCCTACCTAGGATTTGGAGCCCCTAGGAAAGCAGCCCAAGTGGACCTCTTATACCGCCAGCAGGCCCGAAACAGGCCCCAGAGGCCCCAAGAGGCTTCAAAACTGGCTCCACGGGGCGCCCGAGAATCATGCCAGGAGACCCCAACAGGTGTCCAAGAAGCCTCTGCAGGCACGGTGGCAGTACGAGCTGCGAGCGGACAGCACGCCACCCTGCAGTCCAGTCGGGTTTTCTTCGCTTTGGCGGGCGCTCAGCGTCGCGCTAGCTTGGGGGGACGAGGACCGAGGAACTTGGTTTTGGACGTTCCATTTTCATGCCTGGAGACTCTTGTCCCGAGGTCTTCCCCTCACCACTTTTATCATATCGTTTGCGTCCCTGAGTCACATGCATGGCCCGTTCAATCAGTCTACGCCTAGACTGTCCCAAGGGCACCCAAGACGCCCCAAGAGAGCTCCCAGAGAGCCCCAAGAGGGCCCCACGGGAGGCCCAAGAGGGACCCACGAGGGTGCCAAGAGGGGTCGTGGGCAGTATCTTGGAAGGGTGTGGCTCCTAACATGCCCCCGAGACCCCCAGGAGGCCCCCAAATATTTGAAGAAACCCCAGAAGCTCCCGAGTGGCCCCGAAGAGACGCCGAAAGGCCCCCGAGAGGCTTTGCATGGGCTTCAAGAGGCCCCTGAGAATCGCGCTGCGAGCCCACCTGAGGCGTCCAACGCGCCCAAATACTATGCCCCTAACTAATGAGCATAAAATTATGGGGTGTGCCGACATGGGTGGGGCGGTGGGATGCGAACCCTGTCTCTGGGGCCGTCGGCTTTGGGGCACGAGGAGTAAGTCGAAACACGCGGGGGGACGCTATGCGAACTTTCCCACTAGGGCAGCACGTGGAACTACATCCCTCTGGGGCACGATCCGTGTGAAGGGTGTGCCGAGATGGGCGAAGGGACGCGTGCGAACTTTGTCCCTGGCACTGCAAGTGGAGCTCCCAGGGGGGGCGCGATCAGTGCGAGGTGCGTGCCGAAATTGGCGGGGCGATGCTATGTGATCCGCGTGATTGGTACTCGTTCACCTCAAGTTCAAACCATCTGTGGGTCATTGCTTCAGTTAAGGGCTGCGGCTTGCTGGAGCCTGGGGTGCGCTTCGTGACGCTGCAGCTGTCGCGGTGCCACCGCTGCCTCGTTTCGCCGCGGGCGTTTCGGTGCGAGCCTGATGCCGCGCGCGCCAGGTTCTACCCCTGCCAGGCCAACAAGGGGATTCTTGGAGCTCACTTCGGGATCCCCTCGCGGCACCATTGACGCCACTCTTGGGGCTGCTCGTAAAGCCTTCGCGGCTTGCTTTTAGGGCTGAGGGGGGCGCTCCCTTGGGCCCTCCTGCTTGGAGCGCCTTGGGCCACGCTTGGGCACACCTTGGAGCCTCTCTCGGGGAACTCATTGGCTGTTCTTGGGTGCCCTTTGGCCCTGTCTTGGGCTCCCCTTGGGGTGCTCCTGGGTTCTTTCTAGGGCGGCTCGTCCCTGGGATCTTTGAGTCCCCAGAATCATGTTCGGCATTTTTGCATTATTGTGCGTTGCGTTGCATTGTATTCCGCTGGGTTGCTTTCCGTTGCATATGCTATTGCATTGCTTTGTGATCCACGTTGCATTTGTGAGCATTGCTCTACGTTGCTTCGATTTGATTTGATTTGCATGGCATTGCACTGCAGTGCATTTGTTTTGCTAACTTGCGCCGCATTGGACCCGCATCTGGTTTGATTCCATGGCAATGCGTTGCACTGCGCTGCCATTACGATCACTCCATTGCCTTCACTTTTGTCCGTAGCCATTTTGGCTCAAGCATTTTTTGTTTCGGCTCCAGCAGTTCCGGCACGGTCACTCTGGCCCGGCAGCACACGCGCGAGAGCCACGCAGACATGTCGGAGCAGGAGTTCGCGGTGAGGGTGAACGACCAGTTGAAGTCCACGGAGCTGAGGCTGTGCGGCGCGCTCGGCAGGGACAAGAAGCATGGTGTTCACATGCGGGCTTTCTGGGCGTCGACAGTATCTTTCTTCGTGGCGTTCGTGGGTTGGTTCGCCCTGAGCCCGATCGCTATCGAGGTGGTCCACAGCATCGACGCTTGCGAAAACCAGCTCTTCCCACCGGTTGCGAACCCAGAGAGGAAAGCATTCTTGAAGTTCAAGGCGATCGCGTCGGGGAAGAAGTATTGCCAGTATGGGAAGATCGGAGAGGATAACAATCCGACTGGGTGCCAGGATGTGCCGCAGGACGTTTGGGACGAGAGTTGTGGCGGGGTGGCGGCCACCGCGTGCACGCAGAGCGCGACGCTCACGGACGACGTCGATCTGTGCCCCGAGGCATGCATGAAATATAATTTCGAAGTCCTCCCTAAGTGCGTTTGCAGCCCGGGCACGCACTGCGGTTCGACGATCCTGTATTCAAGCATCACGTCGGTCGGCATCACGATCTTTGTGCGCGTGGCGCTCGGCACCCTCCTCGAGAGGTTCGGCCCGGTCAATGTGCAGTCTGGCCTCCTGCTCTTCGGAGCCATCTGGGTCTTCGCCGCGACGGGCATCTCGGCAGAGTGGAACTTCATCTTCATCCGCATGATGATCGGTTGCGCGGGGGCCACGTTCGTCACAAATCAGTTCTGGTGCTCCCTCATGTTCGCCCCGAACGTGGTGGGCACCGCCAACGCGACCGCAGCGGGGTGGGGCAACCTCGGCGGCGGCGTCACACAGATTTTCATCGTGTGGTGCCTGTTCAAGCCCTTCCAGGCGATGGGCGCGAGCTCTGACACGGCTTGGCGCCTGTCCATGGCCGTCCCCGGTTGCATCTTCGTCGCGGTTGCCGTCAGCATGAAGCTGTTTTGCTGGGACATGCCAACGGGGCCCCGCTTCAAGACCAGCGACACGGGCAAGACATCAAACGCGTCGATGTGGGATTACGTGGAGTGCCTGAAGGACCCCAGGATCGTCATTATGATCTTCCAGTACGGCGCCTGCTTTGGCACGGAGCTGGTCATGAACGCGCAGCTGGCCACCCACTTCCGCGTCTACTTCCAGATGGAGGCTGGCGCTGCCTCTGCCCTGGCAGGCTCCTTCGGCCTGATGAACTTGTTCGCGCGCTCATTGGGCGGCATCTTCAGCGATTTTCTTTTCGCCAGGTTCGGTTTCCCTGGCCGTATTTGGGCTCAGTTCCTCTGCCTTTTCCTCGAGGGCATCTTCCTGCTCGGCTTCGGATCTGTGGAGAACTCGCAGCCGTGGTACGTCGCCCTGGCGGTCTTGCTGGGTTTCTCTCTCTTCGTGCAGATGACCGAGGGCACCAGTTACGGCATCGTGCCGTTCATGAACCCGAAGCAGCTCGCGTGCACATCCGCGCTGGTGGGGGCGGGCGGGAACTTGGGCGCCGTGATCGCCCTGTGGTGTTTCTACAATACCCTTGGGCCCATCGACACCCTGCTCCCGTTCAAGATCCACGGTGCCTACGTGATCTTTTGGGCGATGACCTCTCCAGCGTTCTACTGGACCGACAAGGGCGGCATGTTCTGCGGCGCCAGTGACCCCGCCTTCCAGAAACCCGCGCCCAAGGAACCAACAGTGGCTTAGATCCAACTCGAGGGCCAGCCAGAGCGGCGAGAGAGAATCACAGCGCAGCCGCTTCTGCTAGATTTCTCCGTTGGGGGACAGTTGGGTGCCTGATGGAGTCTCGTAGTTTTGCTGTCTCCGGGCGGCCTCGGGGGCCAAGGAGGAGGCCATTCCGGTGGCCGAGGAGGAAATCAACATTTGAGCGTCTGGAGAGGGCGACCAGATGCCCCGAAGCGATGCTGGTCTGGAGCTCAGCACCGTGAATTTGTGGCGTTCCTACATCATGAGAGCCTCCGTAGAGGGCGGCCAGATGCCCCGAAGTGATGCTGGAGCGAAGCCCAGCACCGTGACTTTGTGACGTCCGACGTCTTCCTTCCCTCTTCCATGCCTCCCAAGAGTGCCCTACCCTCCCTCCCCCGTCTGGTTTCCGATAATTTTCCGGCGTGAAGTGCGTGTCTGAAGGCCGTCTCATGCAATGACAGAACAATTTGCGTGTACGTTTTGCGACCGCACTTGCGCGGCGGGAGGCAAGTTAAGCAAATATTGCTTGCTGTTTTGTTCAGAACGAGGGTGCGAGCCTGAAGGCCGTCTCTCAGCCCGCGTGCCATCCTGGCCCTCTAAGAGGAGAAGGAGGACCATCGGAGGGGAGAGAACAAAATATTCGCATTGAATGTTATGCAAATGCCCGTGTCGGCAATTCGTATCTGTTCTGCCCGCGTTATAGATGTATTACACCCCATGCTTAAACCATGTGTGGGTAGCTACTCCAGTGGCTATGAGAACTTGTCACGGGCTGAGGCCGACTAGAACCTATGCGCGTGGAAGCGCGGGCGTGGTTCTAGTTGCGGGAATGGCCCGGAACATTTCCGAGTTTTATAGACACTTCCAGACCCCGCCAGCGCCGACGTTGCATCACCCGGGGTTGGGGGGCGGGCCTGGTGACGGCCGTGACGCCGAGTAAGTAAAAAGTCGGCTGTTCAAAGATGGGGCCCTGAGGTCATCGAAAATAAATTATCCCAGTGCGACCCTACCTAGGATTTGGAGCCCCTAGGAAAGCAGCATTAGTAGTAACGATAAAGCTAAGCTAACGCTAAGCTAACGCTAAGCTAAAGCTAATCTAAAGCTAAGCTAAACTAAGCTAAAGCTAAGCTAAAGCTAAGCTGAAGCTAAGCTAAAGCTAAGCTAAAGCTAAGCTACAGCTAAAGCTAAGCTAAAGCTAAGCTAACTTTAAACTAAAGCTAAGCTCAATTTAAGCTAAAGCTAAGCTAACGCTGAGGCAAAGCTACGCTAAAGCTAAGCTAAGGCTGAGGTACAGCTAAGCTACAGCTAAGCAAAAGCTAAAGCTAAGCTAAAGCTAAGCTAACGATAAGCTAAAGCTAAGCTAAATCTAAGTTAACTATAAGCTACAACTAAGATACTATAAGCTAAACTAAGACGCTATAAGCTAAACTAAGCTAAAATAACGCTGACGCTAAGCTAAGCTAAGCTAGGCTAGGCAAAGCGAAGCTAAGCTAAGCTAGGCTAGATGAGATAAACACATTTAAGCTAAGCTAAGCTAAGCTTAGCTAAGCGGGGTGGATCCTGCAGCGGCGGATCCTGGGGGAACCGCGGGGCGGATGCCGGGGGAACCGCCCGGGGCGAGGAACACTGCCCGGCCCTTTAAGCTTATAAAGTAAGAACCCTTCTAGGCAGAATCTAGGGAGGGAAACACCCACACCCTAATGACACAGTTAAGACGTGGGCTCACTGAGGCCCCCGTCTTTGCATTAGGGGTAGTACATCTGGGCGATTTGGTGCGACACATCTGCAGACAAGAGCCCCTATCCATACATATTTTTTGGGGGCCCTCCTAACTTGGGTCCCCTCCCAAAGGATTAGGGGTACTTTTTTGGCTACTCATGAGGGATGGGGGCCTGAGGATGCCAGTGAGCCCAGGGTGGATTTATACTGTTTGATGCACCTCGTCGTTCGGGCCCCATCCCTCAGGACCCAAGCTTGGAACCACCGCATAAGAAGAGCGCGCTCCGGGGCACCCTTCTGATACAGTCGGCCCTGATTAGTAGGTCGACCCTGCCAAAATCAAGGGTACCCTTGTGTTCTGTGTCTCGCGGCCCATGCCTCCGAAATTCATGTGGCAATGTGGCCCCCGGAAGGGTCTCGTCGTGTCCTTTCGCGTGTCCTGTCCAGTCGAGTCCGTCTGTGTGCCCTTTCGCAGGCGCCCGACGCCCTGTCCTCTCCGCACCGTGGCTCCTCAGGAGGTCGGGGCCTCCTCCCGAGGACAGGCTGCTTCCCGCCCCGAGCAGCTCTTTTGACCTGCGCCCCGGGAGGCTCGGTGAGGGCCCGACGGCGGAGAAGCTCGTCGGAAGGCTCCCGCCGTGTTCTTTCCCGACGCGAGGGCCCAGGCTCCATGGCATAAAAAGCGCCCCTACCCTGGTTTGCGAGGCGCTGTGCGCTGAAACTCCTGTGGGCCGACATGGTGAACCCTGCGTGATGTGCGGCGTCCTGGCGGCTCTCTAGGCTTTGGGGGTTCCCAGGAGGTTTACAGACCGCGCAGTTGCAACCCAGGGTGGGGCCGTTTTTTCATTCCGCAACAGACATCCTCCGATAAGTCTATCCCGATCGGCGGATAGAAACTAGTCAAAATGTACCTCCCAAATAGTCAACAATTAATCAAAACACAGTCCCCAGACTATTTTTTACTATTTCTGAACCTTTCTCCTGTAGAGGGACAGGCCCGACGTAAGGGTAATTCGTTTTTTGTCCTGGAACCATTCTTGACGGCTCCAGGGCCGGCTAACTCCAGGCCTCCCAAGGGTCCGAGCAGATGGGGTCGGAGGACCGCGCCGTATCGTCTGTGCATCGCCGATGCGGCTCGATGCAGAGCCCGAGTTTCTCCATGCCGACGTCGCCGATGCGTTGCCGACGTCGGCGATGCATCGCCTATGCGTCGGCGATGCGGCACGATCCCCCGAGACCATCTACTCGGACCCCATCTAGGAGGCCTCTAGATATCGGGCCCCGGAGGCCGAACATCGGGGGAAAGAGCGCCGGGAATGAACAGATCATATCGTCGGAGACCTGGGCTTCGAGCCCCTCCCTCTCGGGGGGGGCGCGCGCAGGAACGCGGGAACGGGAACGGGAGCGAGCCAGCGCCTTGGACACCTCGGCAGGGTCAGGAGGGAGAAATAGGCACATGCGTTGAGAAGCGCGGTTTCCAGGAAGACTTGGAAACTATGGAGAGTGGAGGGGAAGACGAACAAATCCAGAAACGATGGGCAGATAAGGGGAGTCCCAGAATTTGTGCATATTTATTTGTGTTTCCCTCCCTTCTGGTCTCTTCTCGCGCTCTTTTCCTTTCCGCTTTCCCTCCTCAATGCGCCTCTGGTGCAACCCACCGCTTGCTGGCCAGCGCCTGACTGTCTTGGACCACTTGGCGCCCGCGGACTTCGCGAACGTTTGTGTCTTCCTGAGCCCCTTTGCAGGAGGCGCCTGGGGAGGCTGCGGGCGCACCCGAGGGCGGCGGGGCCAGCGGGGAGGCCGGCGAGGCCGGGGAGCCAGCGGCGAAGCGGGCGAGGCAGGGCTTCGGGAACGACTACTTCAGGGCGCTGGTCATCCAGGAAGAGCAAACAGCTTTCGGAGGAGGGAGAGGTACCCATACCCCTACCCTTGCCTCGTTTTCGCCTTGTCGGGCCTCGAATGTAACCCTCGTCGCCGCCGCTGGATTCGTTCCGAAATTTTCGTCAGAACGCAAGCCAGGAGAGGCACGGGGAATAGCTGTGCATAGCAGTGTCGGTGCCTTTTGGTTTCCCCAGAAACTAGGCGGCGCGCCCGTGATGGGAAGTGAGAGGGAAAGTGTCTTCTCAGAATGTGGCGGGGTTTCTGTCAGACCCCCCCAGTCTTCTGAGAAGTTCCCCGCGTCTTCGGCGAAATCTGGCAACATGTTGGCCACCGTTGGCCCCAAACTGTGTAGATGTACGTGTGCATGTACGTATATATATATATATATATACACGTAAATGTAGACATATCTACATACATACATATATATATATATATAACAATATATGCTGTGCAGCTATTGTCATGCAATTCATGCTGTGCAGCACACGTCGTGCAATCGTGTTGTCCAACCCGCCTTGCAGATCCTGAAGCTGTCAATTCCAATGCTCGGTCAATGACTCCACCCACCACGCTGCAAAACTCATGCGGCGGCGATTGCGATGACTTCTTGGCGCTTGCTGGCAAATCCTGTGGCCGCGCTAGCGCTTGCAGGCTCGCGTACAGAACGGCCAGCGAGTTTGGCGCGCTCGACGTGGCCGCGGCGGTGCAGACTGGTGGAGACTTCCCAGCGCGTCCCGCATCGGGTATAGCCAAGGCCCCAAATAAGGGGACCCGGTTGGTGATAGAGCCGCGAACCCCCCCAAATCTACCATGATCGGGAAACCAAATCTGTCGTAACGGGTGTTTTTCGGGAGGCCGCAATTCCGGTTAGTTGAATGGGGCGGGGGGGGCGTCCCTTGGCACATTTTTTTTGCAACCGGCGCCCGACCGCAGGCCGCGCTGACACGCGGGCGCTTCAGTGCGAGTCAGTGGCTCGAGCGGGCGCGGTATGGTGGCACCGTCGACGTTGGCAGACACGTTGATGATAGTAACGACGGTGGTGACGAAGATGACGCTGACGTCGGCAAGGCCAATGGCGGTGCCGGTGCTGGTCACGCCGTTGACGATGATCGTGTGCAGGTGTCGATGAGGAAAGTTGCGGAAAGATTTCGAAATGCGCGCGCGCGCCCGACGGGCCCGACTGTCCCGCATGGCATTAGTTGACAAGGATCGTGCCCCTGCGCATGCGCGCAAAGGCGTTCGAATCATGTCGACATGCGCGCGCAAAGGTCCGTGTGGTTCGCGTGTGTTGAACGTTGATGATTTAAAAAAGTGTCCAGCTGATCCGCTAGAGCACTAGGGAACTTACGTTGCAAAACCAAGTCTTGTAAATGAGGTCGACATCCCCACGAAACCCACGGCATGTGAAGGACATTGGCATGCTTGCGCGACGACGCGCGCGCCATCCGTCAGTTTTTTTCGCAAAGCATTCTTGCAAATTTCGGATGTTTGATCAACGACTTTACGCGCATCGTATAATTTGACAGGGATGAGATGTGTGGGGGGTTCGATCAGGGGTTTGGCTGGGATGGTACGGGTTCATTTTTAGGATAAGCGATCCGGCGACATCGCGTGTAAGCTGTACGTCCCCAGTGGGGACCAATAGTCCCAGGGTGGAGTGGGGTCCTAGATTCGAAATCCATTTTTGTCGGAAAGGAAAATCATCAAGGCTCACAAGTGACTAGTCAACTTCTGTGTTTGTTCGCGCAATCTTCTCACTCACCCGCCCGCAACTTGGTTTGCACAGCCCATGTGGCCGCGCTAGTGCGTGCAGGTTCGCGCGCAGAGCTGCTATCCAATCTGGCGTGACCGGGCGCGGTCGCGGTGGCGCTAAACGGTGGAGACATCCGAGCGCGTTTCGCGGGCCGCGCTGACGCGCGGACACTTCATTTCGATTCGGTGGTTCGGGCGGGCGCAGTATCATGGCGACGCAGACAATGGCAGAAATGATGATGATAGCAGCGGCGATGGTGACGATGACGGTGACGGCGGCGCGGTCAATGACGGCGCCGGTGCTGGTCACGCCGATGAAATGATAGTGTCCGGGTTTCGGTGATGAAGTGTCGGGGGGATTTCGACATGCGCGCGTGGCCGTCGGGCGCGAGCGTCCCGCATGGCCTTTGTTGACAGGAATCGTGCTCCCCGTGCATGCGCGCAAAGGCGTTCGAATCATGTCGACATGCGCCCGCGCGCAAAGGTCCGTATGGTTCGCGTGCGTTGAACATCGAAAATGTAAAAATGTGTCCAACTGATCCGCTAGAGCGCTAGGGAACGTACGTTGCAACACCAAGTCTTGTAAATGAGGTCGACATCCCCACGAAACCCACGGCATGTTAAGGACATTGGCATGCTTGCGCGACGACGCGCGCGCCTTCCGTCATTTTTTTTCGCAAGGCATTCTTGCAAATTTCGGATGTTTGATCAACGAGTTTGCGCGCATCGTATACTTTGACAAGGATGAAATGTGTGGAGGATTCGATCAGGGGTTTGGCTTGGATGGTACGGGTTAATTTTTAGGATAAGCAATCTGGCGACATCGCATGTAATCTGTACATCCCCAGTGGGGACCAATAGTCCCAGGGTGGAGTGGGGTCCTAGATTCGAAATCCATTTTTGTCGGAAAGGAAAATAATCAAGGCTCACAGGTGACTAGTCAACTTCTGTGTTTGTTCGCGCAATCTTCTCACTCACCCGCCCGCAACTTGGTTTGCACAGCCCATGTGGCCGCGCTAGTGCGTGCAGGTTCGCGCGCAGAGCTGCTATCCAATCTGGCGTGACCGGGCGCGGTCGCGGTGGCGCTAAACGGTGGAGGCACCCGAGCGCGTTTCGCAGGCCGCGCTGACGCGCGGACGCTTCAGTGCGATTCGGTGGTTCGGGCGGGCGCGGTATCATGGCGACGCAGACAATGGCAGAAATGATGATGATAGCAGCGGCGATGGTGACGATGACGGTGACGGCGGCGCGGTCAATGACGGCGCCGGTGCTGGTCACGCCGATGAAATGATAGTGTCCGGGTTTCGGTGATGAAGTGTCGGGGGGATTTCGTCATGCGCGCGTGGCCGACGGGCGCGAATGTCCCGCGTGGCATTCGTTGACAAGGATCGTGCCCGGTTTGCATGCGCGCACAGGCGTTTCAATGATATCGACACGCGCGCGAAAGGTCTTCTTGGTCGAATGTGATGTTCATGTTGAAACAACAATGTTTTTGTTTTTTGTTGAAAGAAATTGGAGAAAAAAAGGACACGCGCACAAACTGGTTTTCCGAACAGCCAGGGTGGAATACCTCGATTTTTAAATTTTTACGACACTGCACATTTTGTGGAATTACCGCATGCGCCCGCGACGTTGCGCCCGTGTCGACCTCGTCCCGTTTTATTGCTCGGGTGTCTCGGAACTGATCGCCTTTGGTAAACGAATTTGCGCGCATTTTTTGGCTAGGATGAAGGGTGTGGGGGTCGATTGCAGCCTTCCTTGGCATGGGCTCAGCGTATATTTGAAATTAACGATGAAGGAAGCCGTTTGTGAATTGTATCATCCCAAGGGGGGAAACAAACATGGGGTTGGTGGTGCTATATCCTAAGTGTAGACGCTTCGCGTAACCCCATCGGCCTATCCAGAAGCCATGCCCAGACGAGTTGCCTTGATCAAGGATGTGGAGTCGAATGCAGCGGAAAAAAGGGTTGGGGAACACGTTGTGCCCCAAGAGGGGGAGGATGCAGGAGGAATCGGGGAAGGAGCAAAATGCAGTGAACGAGTAATTATGGAGAATGTGAGGGGGAGGAAAAACGAGGAAGGACGATGAGCAAGCGGATGAAGACGCGGAGGAGGAGGAGCAGGAGGAGGAGGTGGTGGAGGAGGAGGAGGAGGAGGATAAGGAGGAACATCAGTGTACACCCAAGATCTATCAACGCGTGTGCCATACACCGTCCCTCTCAGCTCCCTTTTCATAGGCCCCTACAACGGATTATTATTACTGAAGGAAGTGTCCCGTCGGAAAGCAACCGTTTGAAAATTCCGACTTGTGCCAAAACGCCATTCCTGGGATTTCAACGCTACGAATCACCATTACTATTGCGTCGTGACGATGCTGGATATCATCGTAACTGTTGCGCCCTGGCAGTGCGATATGGTGCCAACACACCATGTCTGGGACGTTAACCATGAAAAAACCCAATTGGCAGAACCCCCCGTCCAGACTCTGGGGGAGAGGATAGGGGGAGTTTACCCTTCCCCGAAGGGGCGAAATTGGGGGTTGCAAGAGGAGATTATCTAATCCACTCACGTCCTGATAGGCTAGTGGGATTTTTTTTGGTTTGAAAGGAGAATCTACGCGGTGCCGTATCTGTTGTGCAATCTATGCTATGCAATCTACGTGGTGCAGTCTATGGTGTTCGGCGACGGGGCGGCATCGGCGAGCACAGCCGCCAGACCGCCAGCCAGGCCCACACGTCGGGCGGCGACGGGGTGGCGACGGCGAGCACCGGTCCGCCAGACCGACACCCAGGCCCAGACGACGGGCGGCGACGAGGTGGCGACGGCGAGCACGGGGCAACCAGGCCGACACCCGGGCCAAGTTCCGTAGAACAGAAGTGAGAAACTCTGAGTGCAAGCGCTGTTCGGGGAGCTTCTCAGACGGCCCGAGGCCTTCCGAGCCCCTGGAGAGGGCACGCCCCTTCTCATTTCCTCCCTAGGCTCGCCGCCGAAGAACGACGTGAACACCGGCTTTCGGACCTCTGCGCGGGTTCCTTGGATCGGCGCTGTTCCCCCCTTGGGCGGCGCCTCCAGCGCAGGAGGGGGGTCCAGCTCAGATTTCGAGTAGAGTGTCCACTACAGAAGTGAGTTATCCCAGAATTAATCATCTCGTCGACTATTCCCAGTCGATTCACGAACAATCGACGTATTCGTCGTAGATTCGAGATGGGGGAAGTCAAGTTTGGAACGCATGAATTCTGTAGTCGTCCCCCTACTCGAAGATTGAAGGAGCCCGCGCGACCTCCGAAAGCTTCTGATGCGTAGGCAGTTCTGTCTCCTCCGAGGTCAATGCGGGCGCCGCCGGGAAGGCTGCCCTGGAGGAGCCGGGACCGCCCACGGCCCGACCTGATCCGATGCGATGCCCCGACGCCCGGGCGTTGTCGGGCTCCTGAGGTCTCGGGAGCCCTGAGACGGGGGTCAATGCAAACGGGGTTCGGCACGAACGAAATGGGTACGGAAGGAATGGGTACAATGCCCCACAGCAGTTCCTGTTCATTTTGGACAGGACTCGCTGTCCGCGCCGCCGCGGCCTGTGTCCATTTGAGACAGAAGGCCGCCTGCCCAACAGCGGCCGCTGTTGGTTTGGGACAACATTTGCTGTTGGGCATTGTACCCATTTTTTCCGTACCCATTTCGGGCGTCCAAAGGGGTCAGCCAGGGCACCGGATTTTGCAGGATCCTGCGAAGACCGCTTTCTGGCTGATCCGGGTCAGCGAGCCGCTCGTGGCCGCGAGGCCGCCGCGCCCAGTGGCAGACCCGGGCTTGCGAAGCCCTGCGCTTTTTTTTTATCTCCCGCATCGCAGTGTTTTGGTTTCCTGCTGGCCCGGGTCTGAGTGACCCGGGTCAGCAGACCCCCGAAGACCGGGTTGTCGCATTTTTCAGGGCGCCAACGTCGCAGAGCGGATGTCGGTCGGAGAGCAACAGGATGGGCCCGGAGTGTCCTGGAGAATGTCGTCCCGATTTCGGAGTGAATCTCGTGCGGCGTTGTGCTGGCCAGGAATGAAGGCTCAAAAACATTCACGCGCAATTCACTTCGTCTTTCGCTCGCCTTTTCTGGGTTTTGCATTGACAGAACTCCGCGCAAAAATCCGCTGCAGCACGTCTGCAAGGTCGGTGCAGCGACAATCTTTGCATGCCTGGCGTTCTTGGCGGGTCTCGGGCCCCAGGGCCCTCGCAGATCGACCTGGCCTGGCAAGTGCTGCAGGACGCTGGGGTCTGTAGGGCTCTTGGATTTTTTGGTTGTTCGAGGTGTTGTATTTGTTTGCAGCGTCGAAACAAATACAGCGCCCTTCCTTCCTTCGTACAAGTTTGTGTGATTTCAGTATGTCGGCTGATGAGGCCAAATGGGGAGGTCCACGCAGCTGACCGTGTTATCCTTTAATCTGCGTGCCGAGCCCAGCTTTTGCACGCGCCGAAATAATGTTTCGCAGCGTCGGATCTCAAAGGCGACCCGATCCCTCGCGATGCGATTCGCGGGCTTGGCGCGTGATGCCGATTCGGTCCGATTCGGCTCGGTTCGCTGGCGTCGGCTGCTGTCAGCCGGAGTCCAGTGCGGCGGTCCGACCCCCATTCGGTTTGGGACGCTTCGCTGGCGGTTCGATCCGTTGCCGATCCGATCCGATTTCGTGATTCGATCCAGCTCGGGCCTGGAAGCTCACGAGCGACGAACACATCGAACAAGCACGGGTAATAAAGATCGATGCTCGATTTGTTTTTCGGCGTTTTCAGATTGAGTCCTTTTTCGGGACCCCGGGCCGCCAGAGTCGATCTGGGACGAAAGCTGGCCTGGGTGGGCCGTAGGATGAAGTCGGGCCTGTCCCTCTACAGGAGGAATATTCGAAAAGAGTCAAGGAACAATCCAGGGGCGATTTTTTGTTGTTGTTGGAATTTTTGGGCACACTAGAGTATTTGTTTGACTTTCTTTTATGTTTCGTCCAGAATCCGCCTGTAGGGGGACAGGCCCGACCTGACCGTAGGAGGGGTCTGGGACCGATGTTGCGCGGATTTCGTCGAAGTCGTCCATGTATGTCCACGTCCATGGCGGCTGGGGCAGCGAGGCGCGACGGCGATCCCTTGGGGCGGCCAGGGCAGCGAGGCGCGACACATATATATGTATATGAATAAATAAATATGTAGATGTATGTTTCGCACGCGTAGTTATATACACAAGTACGCATGTATACCTACGAAGATTGGCACTGACCTATTCGCGCACCCCTGCCAAACTCGATGTGGGCTTTCTCTTCCAAGCTGACCATGGCGGGCGCGTCTTTTTGCGGTGGTATTTTTCTCGCATGCGCATCAATCTCTCTCATTCTCTCGCGATCGAAGAGCAGCATATTGCACTGTACAGAAAATTAGACCACGCCACCCATGATCGTCCACGCTGTCACCAACGGTCTCCCGAGCAAGCACCTGCCGAAACGGCGATCCCCTGTGTCCAGAGCGTCATGGGCACTAGTCTGGGCAACTTGTTCTTTCGAAAGATGTCCTTGGTAAGGACAGGCAAGCATCCTTACTGGAATCCTACAGGGATCACCCATAAGGTATCGTTGCTGAATAATCCTTATTAGAAGGACCCTTGCTGAAGAATCCTTCCTACATAGTGCCCTTCCTAAGGAATTCCGTATTGCATGCGTCTTTCAGGGATCCTCACCAAAGGCGTTTAGATTAATTTTTCATAGGCAGGTGTTTTTCGGACGATGTGTATTAATGACATTTTTCGTTCATGAATCATTGTTAACGATTTCTGGCAACATGTGTGCTTGCTCACCGGTTCCCGGCGCATGGGATCTTTGTCGAACATTCTTCTCAGAAGGCATCTTTGCTAAGGAATAATTTCTGAACCACATTCTTACTACTGAATCTGTGCTACAAGCACCCTTACCAAGGGCTCAGTACTACGGGGTGTCTTTTTCAGAACTCCGTTTCAAAGGCGTCCTTTCCAGGGGACACATTGCTACAGGAATGCCTTCAGCATGGGCGCCTTACGATAGGGATTGTTGATAAGGATTCTTCCCGAGAAGGGGTCTTTACGGATGCGCTTAGGGAGGGGACTTTATGAATTATGAGGGACTCTTTATATCAGGAAACTCTAACAAGGCATCCACTGAAGACTCCTTCGTGCAAGGATATTATTTGGAGATTCCGTGCTACAGGCGTCCTTCAGGATTCCTTACCAAAGGCATCCAGACTAAGGAATACATCATCAACAGGAACCCTGTGAACTACTCTTTGCTAGCGACACCTTTTACACATGCGTATTTTCGCAGGGTTCCTCACAGATGTGATTCAAATGTGGATTCCATTTCGAAGGTAGAAGCATGTGTTTCAAAGGAGTATGTGTTGCAGACATCCTAATTCAGGAATCCGTTCCAAGAGGTGTCTTTCTAAGGAGCACGACGTCCATCTTTACCGACAAACCAGTATTAAAGGACTCAGTTTTCACACAGTTGTCTTACGCTGTGGTTTCTTAGTCACTACTCCTCTTTACTGATGCATGCGTATTAGCGGGATCCGTATGACGTATCCCTCATTGAAGCTTCTTCCTACAAGGGTCTTTATTGAGGGGATTCGTAGCACAATCATTCGCATTAAGGATCCTGCACTAACGGCAGAGTTTTTAATGACTTCACAACAGGGGCATTCTTATTGCGAGCTCCTTACTAATACTTTGGTTCTTACTAAGGCTTCTTTACAACATGATTCCTTAGCCAGGATCCCAGACTACAGGCATCCATACGAATGCATCCTTATGGCAGCACTCCCGTCTATGAGAAACATTACTTAGTAGTCCTCACTACAGGCTTTCTTGATCAGAAACCGATATTGAACGGCACCCTCGACAATACGTTCGTTTTGAAGGTACCCTTGCAATGAGTTCTTGTTGAAGAGTCCTTGCTCACGATTGCGTCCTATTGTTTTAGACGTTTCGCGTAACCACACCAGCCCATCTAGAGACGTTGCCCAGCCGAGTTGCCTTGATCAAGGATGTGTAGCAGCATGCAGTTGAACTAATTGCTGGGGAAGTCGTCATGTCCCATGCGGAGAGAGCAGCAGGAGGAGGCGGAGAGGCGGAGGGGAAGGGGGGGGGAGAGGGAGGACGGAGGAGGTGGGAGGGCTGGGCGGATGAGGGAGAAGAGGAAGAGGAGGCTGAGGAGGACGAGGGGGAGGAGGAGGGCGAGCCGACAGGTCAGAGGCCTCTTGGATGCCTCTCGGAGTCTCCTCGGATGCCTCGTGAGAGTTGTTTGAAGTCCTCTTGGGGCGTCTTGGGGGCATCTTGGCGGTCCTGGGGCCTCTTGGAGCGTTTTGGGTGCGTTGGGGGAGCATCTTGGGGCTATTTGGGGCTCTCTTGGGAGCCTCTTGGGGGCCTTTGGGGGGTTTCGTGGGGCCCCCCTGGGCGTTTCCTAGAGCCCTCTTGGGGCAGTCTCGGGAGCCTCCGGGCCTCGGGGGCTATTTTGGAGGAGTTCGCTCAACGAAGGCGCCCCCCCCTCCGCACCGCAACGAGCACCGCACGACCTCTCGTCTTGCAGGGGCCTCGCTGGAGGGCAGATCGCCGAGAGCCTGACACCACGCTGGGGTCGCTGTGTGGGCTCTGTCCTATCCGCGAAAAGGACTTGCGGTATACATGTGTGTACGTATGAGTATCCACTCCTATCAACGCACGGGATCGCGTTGCACCCGCGTCTCCCGCAACGCACACACACACCTCCCTCCCTGCTCCTGCCTCCCCTCCCCTTCCTTCCCCCCCTACAACCACACACACACACACCCACAGTCACACAGACACAGACACACAGACACACACACACACACATACACCCACACACCCACACACCCACACACCCACACACATCCACACACACACCCACACACAAACACACCCGCACGCAAACGCGCACGCACGCACACACGCACACAATCACGCACACACGCACACGCGCACACACGCACACACGCACGCACGCACGCACGCACGCACGCACGCACGCGCGCACACACATTCACACACATTCGCACACACACACACACCACACACCACACACACCACACACGCATACAAACCGCACACACCACACACACCACACACCACACACACACTACACACACGCAACCACACACACACTCGCACGCACGCACGCACACATACACACACACACACGCAGGCACGCACGCACGCACGCACGCACGCACGCACACACACACACACCAGTACACACATTTACACACACACGCGTTCACACGCATTCACACACACACGCACACACATACACACGCACACATGCACACACACACGAACACACGCACACACATGCACGCACA